TTCAATTATTTGGCTAGGCCGATTGAAAAATTAAACCGAGTAACATCATAACCCGAGGGAGATTGTTTGACAATAAATTGCCTAATAGCAATAATTTAATATGGTATGCAGTTTGTAGGATAATGCTAAAGCAAAAATTAAGAAAGGAAAAGCCTCCATCCTCTTGTAAACTTCCTGGAAATGTTCAATATCTTTGGGGGCATTTAGGTCTGCAATAAATTCAAATTATTTTAAAACATTATCCTGTTAATAATTCAGGATTAAATTGTCTAGGTTTATACGAAGGGTAATTCAAATTGTAAAAGTTCGGAGATGATCAAAAAGACCAAGTTTGCCAGAATAAATATTTGCATCGTGTAGTAAAGTGGTTATCTTACCCATATATTGCTTTGAAAAGTAATTTTTCGATGACATTAAGAACAAGGTTTAACTTTGTCAAAATGAATGAAAATGATTGTACCCAATCTATAGCTAGCCTCAAGGCCCTTAATGATTGATTTCTACTTAGCTCGATTCAGGTTCATTAGGTTATATAGAAAGACAGAGAACTCTTTAACTTAGAGGCCATTAGCATCGGCACACATTTGACATCAAATAGGCCGAATTTCGTGGCAGATTTATCTATAAATGGTAAATGGTAATCCTATAGATTTTTCATCTAATTTTGGATTTATAATACAAATAAAATCCATTTTACATATTAGGATTTATAAATTAGATTAGTGAACTTCTGATATGAAACGGCCTAATTTAAGATGGTTACATAGATATGCAGAATATTTCAAGAAAATCACCTGAAGTACCAAGAGAATTCAAAATTTCCTATTACAAAACATGCTTTTGATGTTAGCTTTAACCAAGAAGCTTCATTGCCTCAACTTAAACATGGTCACAATTGGTTTAACACAAAATTAGAATGAAGGTTATGCATAGAAAGTCATCTAAAAGTTTTAACTTGTTAAAAATGAGCTTTCTTTCATGCAAGATGGATATTATTTATCAAACAAAGATGTAACCACTTACTCTTTTTTATCTTATAATCGAATGATGATAAAATGTGAAATTAAGTCTTTTATTGCTCTGACAATCAAGTCAACTACAAGCAAGACTCGAGATGGACACGGTTTGAGATGGAGGATTTTTGAACTATTTTCAAATCAAACTATTTTATTGACTTAAAAAAATTTCAAACAAGGCCAAACCATATTTTTTGGTTTGATTTAATTTCAGACCACGATTTCAGTGACTAAAAATACCGTCTTTCAAAAAAGTGAAAAAAATAAATATTTTAGTCTAGAATTTACTATAAAACTTAGATTGAAACATTTAAATAATAAGCTTTACAATACAATTATACTTGTTCCAATACAAGTTTAAACCAATAAATATATACAAGTCCAACTATATAAATTTAAGTATGCAAATTCATTCTTTAGATAATTTTCAGGCCGTGGCTCGACTCGAAAAAAGCTCGAGCCCGCTGGCTTGAAGCTCAGACCGAGCCCCATTTTGAAATGTCGAGCAAAGCTCCAGCCGGCTCAAGCTCATGAGCCTATATTTAAAATATATATATATATATATAAATAAATTTTTTTTTTTTTAAGGCAACATTGCAAATTCATTCTTTAGATAATTTTCAGGCCGTGGCTCGACTCGAAAAAAGCTCGAGCCCGCTGGCTTGAAGCTCAAACCGAACCCCTTTTTGGGATGTCGAGCAAAGCCCCAACCGGCCCATGTGGCTCGCCGGCTCAAGCTCATGAGCCTATATTTAAAATATATATATATACATATAAATAAATTTTTTTTTTTTTAAGGCAACATGCCTATTTTAGGCAGCGGTTGCTGCCTTCTTTATTAAATAAAAAACAAAAACAAAACCACAACAAAAATCGAGTCTGCTCAGCTCGAAAAGGCCCAAGTCGAAAGCTCGGGTCAAGCCTAATTTTCAAGCTCGGCCTAAAAAAAACTCGATCATTTTACCCTAGTCAATCCCAACCTTTAAATTTCGGTTCGCGAGTCGGCTCGACTTAATTCGTTGACATCCCTATGTTCCCCAAGCTCGGTCCCTTCCCTTTCTCTCTACAAAAAGTTTTGTGCCCATTTAAGCCCATTGCGTTGTACTTATTTTGTAAATTTCTGTACACGTTCCAACTTCTTACCTATTACCTTGGCAATATTATATTTTGGACATATTCAATATAAAAAGTTGAACCCCAATTTTGAGGGCCTCCACTATCCAGCCCCTGGAGTATCGTGAAGGAGGTAAATCGTGAAATGTACCATAGCAGGTCAGGGAACAAGAGCTTATCTGTACACTGGTGCCCATAAAAAATCTAATTTCATATGTCAGGAATCGAACCCTCACTCTACGGCTACCAACAAGGCTGAAACTACCTCACTCCTGTTCTTTGCACTACTGGGTTATGCCCCGAGGGCAGACATATTCAATATACATTACATAGATATTTTAATTTGTTTTCCTTTTTGCAATACAGCATAACTAACAGTACTAACATCTCATTTAGGTCTTCCATTCTTTGAACAAACCATTATTTTGTACTAGATATCAACTGTCACAAATTCAGAGAAAAATGAAATCCGTTACATAAAATGGTATAGACATATTTATTAACCTTGTCATTTTCGTCTAAAATGTGCATGGATTATGCTACTTTAACATAATGAACACCATAATGGTGTGCATAATGTCCAAGTGGCGCTCCCTCCAACAGGGGGCGCCACTTGGGCATTATGGACACCATTATGGTGTCTATTATGTACCCCAAGCATCACCCAATGTGCATACCCTTTCACTTTGCCACTGCATATTCACCTGGCACGTGTGGCCAAAGTCAAACGTACTTGAGAAATTGGTCTTTATTACGTACAAATTCCTATATTTCATAGGCAGAACATTGGGATATAGATGCCATCATGAATTTGACTTCAAGATTTGTCAATCTCCTACTTAAAAGCGTGTGTAAATAAATAAAAATAAATAGTGAATATATAAATATTACTTGTAATTTGTTGACCTTCAAAATAGCAATGGGTACCTCAGCAAGTGCTTCAATTGGACTTCTTGGGACCTCAGCAGCAGCTTTGAAGGCACCTCGATTAGATCTCTTCTTATGCCTCGGTTAGACCATTTCGAATAATCTTTAGACAGCTTCGGATTGGGTTTAGAATGCACATTGGCTGAGCCTTGGAGGACCTCGGTGGACTAATTTGTCAGACACTTCGACCATCTAGGAATGCACCTCGGTTAGCACTTGAAGGCACCTCGACTAGCCCTTTAAGGCACCTTGGATGACCCCCTTGAGAGCTTCGGCTTGGGCTTTTACTTGGCTGCCTCTTGGGCCTATGTTGTCCAACTCTAGTGGACCTCGTCCGGGTCCAATAATAAGGTCCAATGTGAAGTGATTTATGTGTACGTGAAGTGATTTATGTGTATAACATATTTTTTATAAAATGTATCGATAACAAATACATTGATAACACATTTATTTTTTCTTCTTTGCCGTTATCTTCAATTCCAAGAAGAGCGCTTATGAAAGCAGCTTTTTCTTTCACAACTCTCTCTGTCACAACAGAAAAAACCTCATGATCCCTTTTGAACTCAATTCTCTATAAATTCATTTTTTTTCTTAAACTCATTTTCAATTACACATTTGCTCAGTAAAATAATTTATAAGCAAACCAAAAATTTCCCCCCACTTGTTAACTATTCATTTTTCAAAAAATCACTAATACAAAATCTATTTCTACCAAAAATAGAGCTCAGAAAACCCTATATATTGATCTAATTTGCATATTCAAACCTTTTTAACATTTATTTTCGGCTATAACCACTACATCGGTCTGTGTAATTAGAATGTTGCAGTAGGTAACTCTGTCTTCCAAACAAGAAAAGCAACTGTACGAAGCAAGATACCTAAATAATAATAATAATAATAATAATAATAATAATAAATGGGTATGCACAGGGGCGGAGGCAGAGATTTCGTCCAATACGGGCACAATTATAAGTATTGGCTACGATGATTTTTTTTTCCTTTTTTTTTCCCGAAATTAGTCTATGAACAAAAAGAGTTTCATATGATCAATGCAAAGTACATTTTTTAACAATAGAAGATAAAATGATGGGGTCCATTGTATAAACAATAAATTGATGGGCCGATAAATTCATAACAAGGCCTATAAATTTTTTTCTAAGAGCCTAATTACAGAGTAGGGCCAAAATCTAAAAATTAAAAAATTGGCCCAACTCCTACCCTTCTTCTTCCCCCTATGCTTCCTCTTCCCTGTTGTCGGCAAATGTTATTTTCTTCCTCCTTTCATTCTTTGGCCTGCAGACAGCACACGCTTTCTTCTTCTTTCTTCCCTTTTCTTCTTTTTCTTCTTCTTCTTAGTTCAGACGTCCAGTGCAGGTGAAGCACACTGGAGTTTCTGTGTCAAGTCCAGAGTCCAGTGTGGGCATTAGCCTGCACTGGACTCCATGTAGCTATGCCCCTAGGTATGTACCATCAACAGAATATGTAAACTTGTGCCTCGGGCTTTAGGCTGAGTCGTGCATGTTTTGCATGGTCGAAGTAAAGTTCGAAGGGTTTATAATCAACATTTTCACCATCCCCAATTAACAAACTTAAATATAGAATGAACAGAGTCTCGAATGACAATTTTACAACAGAAATTAGTTACAAACAATAACACTAGCAATATTTGTACCAAGAAATATTGATATTTTCATTTTCTCCTATGAAAACCAAAACCTGTTCAAATATTCATTCTTCCTATCAGTCGAACACATAAATGAGCAGAAGAAGAAACCAAATACTCTTCCCTCATACAATTCCAAGCTAAGCTTACAAGAACGCACGCGATATGTCAATAAAGAATGCTTTGCGTAATTCATATAACCATGACAATTGTTTTAGTAAACATCTCATGAAAGATTCACACACACAATAAGTTCCACTTACTGTAGAGTAGAGAAAAGATTTAAAGGAGATGCACAAGAGTCGTGCTTAGTTAATGCATTCCAAGTCTAGTCAATATCCAAGTATCACATTGGTCAGAAGACAGAAAGGAATATGCCCTCAATTTCTTTTTTTTTGTTTCACTCAAAAGCAAATACAAAAACAGAATATAGATGCCCCAAGCTTCACAAAGTGAACACCACAGAAAAAGAAAAAAATTTTGATTTTCATCCACACTATGGTATTATACCTTCTACATCTCAAAATTACTGAAGGTAGAGCACAAGGTGTAATTGTTATTAAAATTGCAGAGTATTTAGTATAAGATAGCGCCAGAGTATATGGTAGATATATGCCCGACTATATAATGTGAAGCTTAACAGCATAGTGCAATATTATCCCATCAAATTCAAGAGACCGGGAATCATGAAAAACATCCACGTCCCTGCACAATTAAACAAACAGGAAAATTTCAGAAATAAGTAATAAATTATAATTTACTTTCTGGCACTGCAAAATATCGGTCTCTGCGTACAATATGTAAAGTTTGTGCTACCAGTGGTGTGTCTAAAGGCATATTATTGCACTTTATACCATGAGAACTCATGTAAAGAATACAAATATCAAACATTCCATTATTAACATGTGCGTTCTTGTGACTGAAATCCTCTTAAGCTGACAAACCTTCCGAGTAAAGTTAGAATAAATTTTCAATGAACACGTCATTTCAGATTCATTCCTGCGGCCATGTTTCTCAACCTCTGAGAAATTTCGGAGAATGAGGGCCTCTCGGCTGGATCACAGGCCCAACAACTTTCCATCAACGATTTCCATTCCGGGTCACACCATGTTGGAATTTGTGGGCGCAGTGTGTTGTTCACTATTCCTCCTACACACCATAAACAAAATTTTGAAGTCAAAAAAACAGTTGTAATTTTCATTGTTGATATTGATTTAAATCTCAACAGGATTCTATAATATCAAACAGAAAAAAGGTATTCAGGTCCCACCAAAAAAATAAAAATAAAAAAATTTCAGTCCCTTGCATTATTATTTCAAAAAATTGGAAAATGTACACTTTTGCTCCATAAAATTGCTGTCAACTCTCAAGCAAGCTAGGAAAAGGTTGCTGGAGTTTTACGCACATACTTGCAAGCCTCAACAAATAACTTGCCTAAGCAAGCCCCAATATATATTCAAAACTCTACCCTCAATGCCCGCAAACATACAGCAACAATTAGTGAATAATTGCAACTAAGCAATCTGTGTCCCTTTTTCTTCTTTTTATCTTGATAGTAAGTACCACATCATGATCATACATAAAATAAATGAATCGCAGAACAGAATGGAAACACAAAATAACTCAATTATGCGGCACGTACCAATTATAGAAGCACAATGCATATCTGCATACGGTTCATCTCCGGTAAGCAATTCCCACATGACAATCCCAAATGAATAAACATCGATCTATACAGCAGAATCAGACATCAAATGAATTAGTTAAGGGGGGGAGAGAGTGAGAATGAAAGAATTTAGTGATCACATTAGATATCTTTACCTTTTCAGTGACCATGCTACTTTTTCCACTCAGGAGTTCAGGTGCCATCCAAGGCAATGTCCCACGAACACCTCCAGATACTAACGTATGTTGCTTCACCTTTGACAAGCCAAGATCACCAATCTAAATTGGAAATTCAGGCAAAATAAGCAAATGTGAATCAATATAACACCAAATACACTCAGATAAAGAGGAGAGAAAACAACGGGGTTGGAGAACCAGAGGCTGAAGTAACCTTTGCAACAGAAGTGTTATGCACTGTAAACAAAACTTAAATGCAAAACAAGCTGATAACAGAACCTAAAGCTTCATATCCCACCAGGGTCCAATTACAAAGCAGCTTGTAGAATAAGATATTGCACACACTGCATGTAATTCATGACTTCCAAAAAAAATTCATATGTCTAGGTCAGCTATTCAATCTGCATTTCACACTGGTCTATGTGGATCTCTCATTTACTCCAGATACTCATATTTTCGATCAAAATGAACAATTTCCTTGCGTGTTAGTACTTCTTCCCAAATGCACTATTCGTAGCTATTATGAGTGTTACTGTGTAAAGCAAAGAATATGTACTCAACACAATTGTCTGGTTCAGCTGCTCAACTTACCTTGCACACTGGGCGATGCGGATCTCTCATATTCACCAACAGATTTTCACATTTTAAATCAAAATGAACAATATTTTTTCCATGCAAGTATTCCATCCCAAATGCAGTATCCATAGCTATCATTAGTCTCTTGCGCCGATCAATAGTCCTGTTTAAATTAGTCATCACAGTAAAACCAGTAGTAGATGTAGTGAATAAAATCTGGACTAGGTCTGAGAAAGATACCTGTCCTTTTTCTGCAGAAATTGTTTTAAGGATCCATTGACCATGAACTCTGTCACTGTTGCTAGAGATCCATCAGGGCCATCACGAACTACACCATAGAAAGCAACAACATTTGGATGGTGCAATGAACTTAATATCAGAGCCTCCTTCCAGAAATCTGCAATCTATACATCAAATAAGATGAATTCAGTTGCCTATGACCGCCAAAAGTTGCACTAGTTCAGCCCTATAAATACATCAATGGCCACAAAGTTATTATATTCTTTCAAGTCTGAAGAAAAGGCAAGAAAGCACATGCAGTTGTAGAAGTCACTCTTAATAGATAAAATGGCATTCTGCATGTTTTACACTTACAATACAGTATAGCAGGTATATCACAATTATCTATGGAAAAAAAGGACGCTAATATCAAAATCCATCAAGCACTTCTTGTCCCTGCAACAAGACTAGAAAATCATGGAGGATGTCAGATGTTCTTTTATTCCCCATGTCCAGCTTCAGACGCACACAAAAACCAAGCTATGTTCAAGCCAAGTGAATTATTTATCACGATGCAGCGAAAATGCATGAATGGAGAATACATTTTGATCTCAATCTAGTAATTTCTGTTTTTAGCTCAGCAGTTGGTCAAAATTAACTTTACAAATGTTGCTTCTTGACTCGGATTCACACGAGCCAATTTCTCTGAGACCAATATCATCATGTCAATTACTTTTTTCCATTGGCAATACTACGTGCCTAATAAAAGGTCTATAACACAGCCACAGGTCATGACTGTGCAACTCCATCATGCGACTAACAATGAGATCATAATGTTTTCTCAAAAAGGGCATATAGATAATATAATATTTTCTCTCCTTTAAATTCAAGAAAAAAATAATCAAAGCAAAATAAAAGTAATGGCAGTTAAAGTGGAGATGTAACAGAAAAAAGACAAGGTAATCAAATTTACGAAAGTGTACCAAGCGCTCCCTTTCAGATGGCTTTCCGGCAAAGCAGCTGGATTTGATTCTTTTGATTGCTACATCTGACCCCTTCCACTTGCCATGGTAAACAGCACCATAGGTTCCAGAGCCTAACTCTCGGATCTCCTCCAGATCTTCATTTTTAATTGTCTACATGGAAAATGACGTAGCAACAACAGATGGTGGAACGTTAGAAGACAAGATACAGTTACTTAATACATCGATTTTCTGAAAAAGGAAGTCCCAAATGGATGTAGGTGGCAAACAGATAGAATAGTATGCTTAACTACATGTATATTGAAAGTAAAACAGATCATATATCCACATGTAAAATGGGAACCTGCAATCCTCTATCAATTGCTTCAGCCTCAGCAGTAGTGGGCTCGATCTTGGAATTGCTGAGATTGTCATTATCAGAACCCATCTCGAAGTCCCCATTGCCACCCTATACAACAAGAGAGGATGTTTTAATGACAAAATACACAACAGAAAATTATTAAGAAAGATTGTGGTTGATTCTCACCAATCCATCCGCGTCATGCTGTGCATCGTCTCCTGCAACTACATTATGCTCAATCCCAAAATCAGTATCTTCTCGAACTTTAGCTTCCACCTTCAGACTTGCCAAAGCCACTTCTTTTACAGAGGCAACAAACTCAGGTAACAAGCTCAAACAGTCTTCCTGCAGCTCAGCAGCAAGGCTAGCATTGGTTTCTTCCACTTCCGTCCCGTCATTGCTTTCCACTACAGAATTCATAGACTTGGCAGGTTCCATTGCATCAGGATTTTTGTCATTGACTACATGCATGTTAGTATCTCCAGCCTCCCCTCCAAGATTCAGTTCTTTGCTCCTTCTATAGATACTGTCCTCATCCAACTTGCCCGGTTCAGCAATATCAGCATCATTTCTCAGGTATGACATGGAAGCTGCAGTGACCAACTTGTCATCAAAAATGAAAGCAGGATCGGATTTTGCAAGGTGCGTTACGGGACCAGCAAATTTAGTCATGTCTGGGACTGATGGGTTGGACTGCATAGTATATGGGCCCTCGACAGTGGGCACCAATGTTGGAGCTTGGCCACGAGACTCATCAAAGCCCACAAGTTTTTGTGGCGACTCTACCCAAGGATTTTGATTCTCCAACTCAGTTCGCAACCTGGGACTACCATCCACTGTACCCCTAATAAATCCAGTGCTCACAGAGCCATTTGCTAGCTGAGCTAAAACAGGTGTTTCATAAGAGGGACCTCCTAGCAATGGGGCATGACCATTTCTCCATAAAGCATGCAAAGGCACATGGCCACGAGGAACCTGGTACACATTATCAGCTCCATATGTACAGGGAAGATTGCTGCAATGAACTCCATGCTCATCCAGAGACGGAACATGAACCTGTGATCCAGTGGCCACAGCTTGGTCGTTGAACACTTGATTACCAACGTCTGCAACAGGTCGGGCATACCGTATGTCTTCATGATGGACATAGTGAGATTGCACAGGGTGGACATCGCATAAACTGCCTTGCCCAAGAGGAGTATTTGTAGCATTTTCCATTATATAGTTATCAGCCACTGCCAGTCTTCCAGCAGTAGAAACATGGGGTCCAGGTTCGTCAGGCCGAGGATTTAACTGATGTTGTAAAACCCATCCTCTTTCATGACCACGACTCTCGTTATAGAAGTATGGATGGTGCACGTTTGGATCTGGATTCAACGTGTACATTTCCCTATTAGGGGGGCACTCAACACAAGAATTAGTGACTGGATGATATCCATTCCCCATGTTAGTTGGCTCAAGACGTGGCTGTTCTCCAGGCTTCCAAGGGGTATCTGGATAAAGTTGATTTCTTGGAAACGTTATCTGGCAATGCTCACAACCAGTGCCATGAAGTATATTACCTGGAAAACCAACATTTTCACTGCCTACAGGTCCTGTTGTAACCAAGACCATATTCTCGGCATACTGCAGCGGCTGCTCATATATGTTATGATGATTGATTGGAGGCCGATTGTATTCCTCAGGCATTCTATCAAAATTTCTGTCTGAAAACTCCCCATATGGAGCTCGATAACGGGAAGATGAAGGCGAAATTGGATACTCAGCCGCAGGCTTTTGGTCCAGGGTTCCAGGTTGCCGAGGTGAATAGTAAGCAGGACTCCATGGAGCCTCATTGTCAGAGTACCTCTGAGAAACTGGTTGTTGGGGCTGCCCAGAACCCAAATGAGGAATTGCAAGCTGACGCAAATTAGCATACGCCATAGGCAACTCTGCATTCCTCTGACCATGGATGCTACCCTCTAGACTCATCTGATTAAAGTACTGCTCAGCAACATTGACATCATCTAATGACCCCATTACCTGAGACCCACCTAGCTGATTCCTGAATTCAGGAGACTCGTTAAGGTTGTTCAAAGCATCAACATACCTCCTTTCATTTTCCCTTTCATCTCCATCCCCGAAGTGCACCGAACCATCTTGATCAGGATTTGAAAACAGAAAAATCCTCAATCTAGTAAATCCATCTCCAGAGCCTAACTTGTCATATTCCTCCATCATATTGGTGACATCATCATCATTCACAACCGATACTAGAGCATCAAGATCCTCATCAGGCTGCTGGTATTTTAGCGTTGTTGCCCCTTCAAAAAGCTCCCTCATCTTCCCCATGAGCTCCTCGTAGTTAATATCACACGGGACACTCAATATACGTGTCTCGCCACCTACATACCTAAGTTTCCCATCTTGGGGCCGCGGCATTATACTACCTGAAAAGCTACACAAGAATTTGACACGCGGCTTTTCATCATTAGAGCTCTGGTTAGAGCCTGGGGTCCCTGTAGGGCTATCCATCAAGTCCACAGCTTGGTGTTGCTGATCAATAATTGGATTCTCAAGTTCCAATTCTGATTCAATCAAATTTTCAACTCCCTTGCTGCAACACATCAGCCGTTCTCACGGGTATTTAAAAACACATATCCTCATTCCAGAAGACCCTCAAATTTTCCAAGACTCAATACAGATCCCAGCTTACGTCTCCTATTAAAACCAATGACGAAACAATAAATTTAACGTTGAATAGCCTTGTGCAAAGGGAAATCAAAACTTTTGAGCTAGGATTTACACAAAAGAACCAACTTTTCGTCCAAAGATTCAAACTTGGTACTGATTAAATCCGGGTAATAAACACAAATCAAATCAGAGTACCTGGAATTGGAGATTATTCTGATAACAGAAGAGCCCTAAATCTTTCCTTAAATTCAAGAAACCCTAGGAAGAAAATCTTCCGCCAAAAAATCTTGAATCTCAATTACACTTTATATTTTATTTACTTATGAAACATACATAGAGTGAAAGACGGAAATTATATATTATATTATCTGTACTTGTGTTTGTGTTTGTTACATCATATGACTATATAGAGAGACTCAGAGAGAGAGAAAGAGTTTCCTAATTTGTTTCCGAGTTCCGGAGGAGAGATGCCTCCGAGGTATGGGTATGATGGGATGTTTTGCGGGGAAGCTCAAGTTGCCAGGTGGGGGTACACGTGGCAATTTTTGAGTTATTCGAATTGGAGAATCAATTTTAGCAGTGCGTGAGCATATTCTTTCCATACATACCAAGGGCATCTTCGGTAACAAGTATAAGCATTGATTTTTTGATCGTTAAAAATAGAAGTGGATCTTACTTGTGAATGAACAAATCAAAAATGACGACTCAAATAATGAAATAACGATCAAAGAATTGATTTTCTGAGATGAAAAATTATTCCTATAGAAGGGCTAATTTCGTTCCTCCTCTCCTTTGTTGGAAAAAACAGGGAAATATAGTAAATTAACTGGGAAAAGTAAAGTTGGAGAGAAAGCATTGCCGCCTGCCTTGACTAACTAGAATTCTCTCTCTTGATAGAGATTTAAGTTGTTGATGACAAAAAAGTGATTTTCGATTATTAGATTCTTAATAAAATAACAAATCTTCTTACGTATGAATTAAATATCAAATATATTTAGTAGAAAGTGCAATAAATATCAAGTCACGTTTTATTTTTTCCCACAAAAACTCACCTTTTCTCCCAAGCTCCAAAATATGCCAACGTGTCAAGAATGTCAATTACGTGCACATGGAATAGGCATCCAAGATTCCCATGATGTTTGGCAGAAAATATAAGGCTATGAAGATCGAATGAGTCATTTGGTATCCACTTTTTGGCTTTCTTGTCTTATTTGACAAAAATCTTTTTACTACCTACGACGAATGAAGTCCATGATCACACCATAAGAAGGTTTCTGAGGCCATTTCCATTCCTCTACAAAAAATTATGATAAATTTTGTACAATTATACATCAAATTTTGCATCAAACTAAAAATCATTTCCGACCCATTACACCAAAAGTTATTTCAAATAAACAATGTTTAATTATTTTGCTTATTTTTTTATTATTAACAATTTATATATCTGAAAAATTATTTATTTATTGAATTCACTACTACATAAATTTCTACATAAATAATTATGTTTCGTTAACAAATATATTAAATTCGCTAATAAATTTTAAAAATGTAGTACAATTAATAAAAATACCATAACTAAGAGAAAATATTAAATCATAATAATAAAAATTAAATAATTATTAAATCATAATAATAAGAAAAAAATTATTAAGGTTTATTACCAAAAAATAATAATAATAATAATAATTAAAAATTAAAATTCACGTATAATATAAAATGACACAAATACCCTTAATAACATTTGGTGCTAAATGAAAAAAAGGGCCCAAAAAAAAAAAAAAACCTTTAATCAACTATGTGCAAATTTTGGTTTTGGGTTGGAGTGATATTGCATCAAATATTTGGTGCAAAATAGGGGAAATTGGTGTTTTTGGTGCAAGGGTTAGAGCTACCCTTATGATCGTGATACTAACAACTAATGTAAACTCGTTTTAAGCTTTCCAAATCCATCTGAGATATGGTACAAAGGATTTTAAATTCTAAATAGAGAGTTGAGAAACCAAGGTAATAGTAGCAATATATACAAATTGCATGACTGAGATAACTGTACATGAGATCTGGACAATGTTCGTCTTCCAACTGCTAGACCATACCGCAATATAGCAATCTAAAATCGAAACTAAAACTCATGCCAGAGCTTCGACCATTATTGAACGATGGGACAACTGCTGCTCATAAAGTTCACGGAAGATACGATATTTAGCATCGTGGTACTTCTTCACTTTTGGGTCGTTAGATGGATAGACAACCTGCCAAGATATAAGCAAACAGCGAGAATCGTTGATCTTAAGATGAGAAAGCTTATAGCTTCAGTAATTAACTTCTAATCTTATAATCACTTTCAACAAGCAGCAGACAAAAATAAGTCAACGAATAAGCTAAAAGTGTGTATACCAAGTTTGAGTTGACAAGTTCCATGGAAGAATATGCTACATTAATTAGCCTAATTTCCCTTTTTAGAGTAAATCCTAATTATGCAATTAGCAAACATTTTGCGTACCTGACCGGCTGAGTTTAGCGCTAGCATAGCCTCTCGCATGGTGGAATATTTCTTTGAAGCAACGGCACCAAGAATAGCAGCACCCAAGAGCACTGATTCATTTTCCCGTGGAAGAGTAATAGGATAACCTGTCCAAATTCAATTACAGTCTAGAATTCATCAAATTTTTATACCAATGCAACTGATGAGTGAAGCACGTTGCACATAATTGAGGTTAGGAGCTAGTGGTAGCCGAAATTTATACCCCAAAACAACCCTGTAGATATCGTTGATGAATGATACACATAATTTGGCTAGGATCTAGTGGGGCTTTTGAAGTGTCAACCTCATGTAAACTCTGAAAACAACGGTGCTTTTGTATTTAACTTTCTTTAGATAACATTTTATAAACCACAATATTGCAAAATTTATCTTAGAATGACACTCATTCTGTTCATTCCACATTTAAAAGCCAACAATTTTAATGGAGAGGTGAAGTCTAAACCCGAGAGCCATGAAGCTCCCTGGAAACCTTGATGGTGCAACACAAGACTAACCAACAAAAGATAAAGTTGAATATATGGAGATAGAAACGCGATGCAAAACCAGTTGAATGTCCACAAATAATAAGAGAAATCAGTTACAAATTATAACATGCTTTCCCCACAGTCCGTCATGTGTCTGTATTGTGTCTGAAGAAACTTATTTGCATTTATCCTCTCTCTCTCTCAAAATTACCAATGCAATGTGATAGGTGAAGTGTCCAACTATTTGCATCTATGTAATACCATCTAAGTTTTATCTGCATATGACCTGGAACTACAAACCCTTGAGGGATCTAGAATCATGCTCTTAGAGAAAAAGGTTTATAGTTTGACTGGTGCTATACACCTACGATATGCATGCTTCAAGTAGTCACTATAAATGTGTAGAGTTGGCGGACATGTGATATATATCTATCAGATTGGTATAGCAATAGGGAACACAGAGAGAGAGAGAACCTATAATATCTGCATGCTCTTGTATGAACAAAGAATTCTTAGCTAGTCCACCGCATGCCAGCAATGTATTGATCTGGAAATCAAAAGGTAGCGAAAGAACATTTACTCCGAAAGCAATAAGAAAGCCTTGCACGTAAAATAGATATTTATGTGTCATAAACTATGGGGTGTACATAGACTTCTAAAAAACATTATCTGGCACCTGGGGTTTTCGTGCAACTTAAAAAATGTTTTCCCATCAACTGGGGACGTAGGCACTAGTAGGAAGCGTGTGATATTACAGCTAGTTATTACACCCACCTCAAATGATAATAATAAAAATCCCAAAACGGTATTACAAACTTCAGTAATAATAAAAGACAGTGCAGTATTCACGCTTCATGATTTTCAGATCAGATCATGTAGTTAAGACTTTTATTTAGAGGGCAAGGGCATCTAGAATAGTATTAAAAATAAATATGCAAGAATCTCCCTACTAGATCTTGTTTTAACAGGAGATGTAGTTTCAGAATATCATAATACACTATCTAACGTAATCGATTTTGCCAGTAATTCTTGTATTAGCTTCTATTTCTGCAGCTTATTATCAAACCCTTTGTGCATTAAATCAATATCCTAACCCAGCACATGTTATATGCATTTCTAGTTTACCTACAAACATTTTATATACATCTTTATTTTACCATAAACTTGCTAGCTTAAAAGCTGACAAAGTCTACAAACGAACGTACTAACATTTTCCTTTTTATTTTCACTTTTTTCCCTTTTGGATTCAGTTTATACACTGCAACAAATTTTAAAGAAAAAACTAGGAGATTTCAAAAATGGAAAAAGGAAAATTTTGAGGTACAAGTATTTGCAGAAAGGCGCTTCTCTAACTTGCACCGTCTTCCTTTTGTATAGACATCAAACAAGAAAATAACATGATTGTGATTTGATGTCATCATGATAATATTATGATTCATCTTTATCATGTGATTTGTTGTATTTTACATGAGAAAGTAATAAACAAATTATACTAGAGTTATCAGTAATGGCAAAACTGATACGTGGTCAACGGTGTTTTGAAACACTAGGTGACAAATGTCCTTACTTTGTGCCCATGGGCATTGCAGTGCTCTACAATATGGCGTGTCCCATATGCAATACCCTGTATGGTTGCAAGGTATAGAAGAGCCAGTTGTTTTTCACTTGTGTCAAGAGTTAAGCCACATATCGTGCCTTTCGATTTTGGGTCTGCAATGGGAGATCTACACAAAAGGTTCAGTGTTAACTATTCATTTGTAGCTACACGAGTACGCAATTGATATTGAAATTCAGATCTTTTACCTGTTTCCGTGGAAGTCAGGGAAGACATGTATATCATCAGTCAATGCAGCAATAAAAGGAGAACCTAATTCTTGTTTAATTGATTTCAATATCTCATTCAAAAGTTCAAAGATTGAAATGCCTATTAAATCAAAATGATGAGTGGTTATGCCAGTCAAAAGTAGAACACGGGTAGCAATACATCATTGTTGAAAGTAACATTTTTGAAGTTGAGAAAATCTCACATCGAGAAGCAGCTCGATTTGCCAGGTGTGGAGAAGCAACGTGGTTCTCAATAATATAATCTAGTAATGCACCAGTGGCACTCTGACCTCCTTCTGTGAGCCAGTACTGAGGCACCATGGCTAAAAATATTTGTGACAGTGAGTGAGAATAACTTTAATCCCACGGTTACAACTAAAGAAAGATATGAACTATCAATTAACCAGTAGAAAGCCACCTAAAATTTTGTTCCTAATAACAATATAACTTAAAGCAAATTTGAACACAAGACCCCCAGCTTAATTATCTAGTTGGGTAAAACTCATTAAGACTAAAGGCCTCCAAGCAAGTAGCCATTTATCAACTGTTGAGCACAGAAAAACTATGGATTCCTGCAACTTGAGTCTCTTCATACCTAATAGACGGAGAAAGAAAAGGTTTAGTAAACTTGGTAGATTTGAGTTGTATCTAT